TTAAGTTCTTTTTTTTTCTTTATTTCCTCTTATCTCCAGGGGGAATGGAACGAATTCCTCTGTAAGCTGTGTGTGTCTAAAGGGAAAAAAATGCTGGACAAGGGGGTGATAACCCCTTCTGTATTTTAAAAACTAAATTAAAAAAAAAAAAAAAAAGCCCTTTTTCTTCTTAGGTCACCTTGCCTTTGGGGGGATAAGGCTGGGGGTTGAAAAAAAAAACTTTATCCATGTAACTTTGACTAACTCTAATTCTTAAAAGTGCAAAAAGCCTCAAATTTGTGCCACCCTTTTTAAATAGAAAATATGTAAAATGTAGACCAGGCGGTCCATGTAGAAAACCATGAAGCACAAGATCAGCGGAATGAAAATGACACTCTGCATTTTATTATAAGGATGGTTTTCATACATACATTTTTTTCAAAGGCCTTACGGGAAAGTGTTTTGGACACATTAAAGTATATCGAAAAACATAAATTTTTTTTTTCCAGGGTAACCTAAGAAAAAAAAAAAGAGCCACCCTTTCCCCCCCTTTCAGAATTAATATATTAAAAAGGTAAGAAAATTTTGGGAATTTATTTATGCACATAAAAAAGGGCCCTATGCATCGCAAATGCCCTGATTTATAGCAAATTGGGCGAAATCACCAGACAGTACTGAGCTGATTTTGGAAGAAACCCTTTTAAAATGGGGGATAAATTTTTACATGCCCTAATCCTCACTTAGACCCCAATTATAAACACCATTTTTTCCCACTCCCTTTCCTTTCTTCTTCCAATTCCCCCATGCCTGAAAAAAAATCAATAAAACAATTTTGATTAAAAACCCTAGGATAAATTTAAAATGCACACAAAAATGGTGAAGTAAAAAACTGTATTTTATGAATTTTGTTTGTTTGTTCACGTTTTTGTAAAAAACAAGACCATTTTCAGAAATTATTTAAAAAAGCTTAAGTTCAAGCAGATCTAAAGGGAACTCCCAAACCAGTTCACCCATGTATAAAAAAATAACAAGTAAGACCTGAACAACCATTTTTTACCAAAAGGAGGGCCCACTTATATACGGTTTTGGGTTTTGGGGGCTACTACTGTGAAGTGAAAAATCACAAGGAAAAAGCCTTTTTTTCCCCTTTTAAAAGCTTAAAAGCCTGATAATTTTTAATATCATATATTAAGTGTATAAAGCTGACCTAAAAAAAAAGAAACAGTACAACCATTAATATATTTGCACCTTAACTTAAGTAGGTAGTGAATAAAATTTTTTGCGGAAGTCTCAATAAAAAGAAGAATGGATAAACTGAAAAATTTCGCTTAGCAAAATGCTGTAAAGTAGGGCCAGCCGTATATGTCTTTGCTGCATAAAGCCTGAAATTTTACTGTTAAATTTTTCCAAAATTTTTTTAGTGTTTTCTCTTTTTTACCATTAAACCCTTTTTGGGTCCGTCCCGTAGATCACGGCTTTAGTTGAGTTCCAAACCCTAGATCTAGCCAAAATTTTTAGCGCCCTCAAATTTAGGGCGAAAAGCTCATAGGGGCCCACTGGAGAGAAGGGGGGCGCATGGTGGGGGGGGCCCCTAAACAAAAAATTAGGCGCCCGTGGGATTTTGGGGGCGCTGGCCAGTTTCCCCGTTCACCTGCCTCCTCGAAAGTCAGCTTCACCCCCGGAAAAAAGGGACTTCCCCCTTTCCTATTGATAGTTCTGACACGATGGAAGTGGAATGAAGACGATTCTATGGCTTTATCAGTTAGTGACCGAAAAAAATGACCGGATACGATAATGGCAGAAAACCTGACGATCCTCAACCCTTTACCTTGGTGTGGGACTCGTGACTCACGGTCGGTTGTTTTTCCAAAAAGAGAAAACTAAATTTTCGCGTGCCGGGTCTGACTTCAGTAATGATGAGAATGAGTGGATTGTGATTTTATTGCGTCGCGATCATTCGAGTAGTGATAGTGAGGAAATTTTTAATTCACCTGAAGCGTCGGTATGTTCGCCGGCTGCGTGGGTAGAGTCCTTTTTCTGTGCCCAGGGGCGGGTAATTCGGAGTAATCCCGTGGCCCTCACCATTTTTTGGGATGATAGGGGATATGTGGTACCCCTTGGATGGATAACCACCCGGCATCAGTGGATGGTGTTAGTGGGGTGGGAGTGGCCCCGCCCCGCGTGACTCACCAGGGCCCCGCTGGGGCCCCCGCTGCTGACTCGTCGTTTCAAGGACAAAGGGGCACAGCCCCAGCCCACCACAACCACCCCCCTGATGTCCAACACCAGCAAAAAAATGTGGGATTGGCGCAAAATCCCAATTTTTTTCCCCAAATCGCCACTTTTATGACTCCAAAGTGGAAATTCACCTACTTGTCCCCCGGAAACCCGGCCCAAGAACTGGAATTTTGAATTATTTTTTGACCCCATTGATGGAAATTTTGTCGGGGGAAAATAAAAAGTTTTGAGTAAATGGCAAATCGATCTTACACCCAGTCAAGACTACAAGGGGGAAAAACGACTGTTTTCAAAATGCATTTTCTTTTTGCAACAATAATTTTGCCCACGTCTTAAAATAAAATAAAGCAACGGTCCCCAGACGGCTAATTTTTCCCCCCGGGCTTCAGTGAAAACATACAGTGAACAGGGGTTTTTCTTATCTTATTTTGTTGACTTCTCTGGACAAACCAGGCCTGCAGAATGAAGGGTTTTAAGATTGAATGTTTTCATTATCTCAAACAAAAGTTCAGGGTAACTTTTTCCATTCAAGAATCGTAATTGACGAGGGGCTTTGATTTTGTTCAAAAGGTTTTGATGCATTCAAGCAGTAAAATTTCCACAAGAGGGAAAAGTTGGGATAAAACTGTTTGTACCGTGATTGTGACAGTGGCCTGGTGTTGGGTATTGTTGTATAAAGGGTAGTAAAACATTTAAAGATACAAAAAGTTATTGGGTATTCAGTGACTAGTGAAAACATGATGGACCTTATTTTGGGAAGGGGGAAATTATAACCCCATAACTGGTAAAAAGCCCCTTACTCGTGATTTCTGCAAAATGAACAAGCAGATTGTGGGGCACAGTGGTTCTAACTAAAATCCAGGTCAATGCAGGTGCCGTTGTGATGCGTGCAGGTGTTTACTGCCATGACATCATGGCATTACGGTGGCATGACAAACGAGAGTCACATTTTTGACAACCATTAACCCAATGAATGCAAGACAGTGGCAAAATTGATCGAGTGACTAATGAACGTTTCGAAAACCCGTGACAGTGATTTATTTTACACAAACTGCGCTTGGTTTACAAATGTGACTTTCAGATTGGTTTTGTTGACTGGTTCGAAGAGTTAAAAGTGGGGACATGAAACTTTTTTTCCATTCATGGACATTTTAATGCCAATGCCTTAAAATGTACCAATAAAGACTGGCAACGACCAGATGGTGAAAATTTTTTTTGCTGTTGTCAGAAAACCCTAATGAAGACCCGGTAAGAACACCTGCTATACAACAAAGGTCCTCGAATTTCCCCGGATTACCCCAAACGTTTTTTAGGAGGGAGGTGATATTTCAAAACAACTTCCTTCAATCAGAAGAAATTTTTCAGAAGAGATGCTCGTTGTGCACAAACAAAACGATGGCAACAAGAGCAAAAAACGGTTTTTGTGAGGAATTTAGGTGCCTAGTCATGGTCTTTTTTCAAGGAGTTACAAGTCCACAGTTCTAAAAACCCCCTGTCCAGTGATTGTAAAATGTAAATATATGATAGAAAATTTGTATTAACAAATTTGTGCATGTTTTTTTGTAATAAACAACGTGGTAAACAATAATATGATAATAAATTTTGTGCGGTTTGTGTTCAAAACAGGGTTTATATATTACATTATTACTATGGGCTTAAGGGCCCCAAAAGTTAGTAGGAATAGAAAAAATTGGAAAAAAAGAAAAAAAAAAAAAAAAAAAAAACCCCAAAATAAAGTAATGCGCGTTGTGAATTCGCGATGTTGCCGCCCCCACATCATTTTTTTAAAAATTCTTGGGGACGTATTGGGTTTAAATATGATAGATTTTTTTTTTTTTTTTTATTTCAAAAAAAATTTTCTCTTTAATTTTGTAAGAAAAAAAATTTTTTTTTTTTTTAAAATTCTTGGGAATGGAAAACCACTTAGTTTTTTGGCTTGGGGCCCGAAGGGGGTTAAGGCAAAGAAAAAACAAAAATGGTCAAAAGATCACTGCCCGAATAGAAAGTTTTGGAAAATCACCTGTATATCTCCATTCTATCTGGTTGTGACCTCAAAAACATAGTCAATGTGAACCAAAAAAATCCACTTGGTGACAAAGTACAAAAACATTTAAAAATTAAATTTTTTAAAAAGGGAAATAGCGGAAAATTTTTACAATCACAAAAAGTGCTAAATCCCTATTGGCCATGACAACTGGGGAAAATGGGAGTAATCAAACCGATCCCAAAAAAAGGATGGACCCTGATTCTTTAGACCAAGACCC